AGCAGGGATAAAGTAGTTCTCTAGGACAATACATTAATTGAATTTAAGGCTTTTGGGGATTAAGTTTCCCTTGAAGCCTATCCTCATGCTATTTGTAGGGATGAATATTTCTTTTTTGCAGGGATCCCTTCTATGAAGGCTCGTGACGGGAACGATCTCAATTTCAGAAATAGCGAAATCGAAAAGATCTTCCTTCTTAATTAAAGGAGGAATATTTCTTACAACCCCGAATTTTTCGGTAAAATCCTAGGAATATAGGCTTTATAAAGCTTCGAACAAAAGTCATTGTTTTTAATAAAATTATTATGATCCACCGCATTATCAAAGCAAAATTTAGTTTTCTCATTGCTAATGGTTTTGATGCTAATCAGACCATTCAATTTTAGATCTTTAATGCATTCAAAGAAAACAAGTCAGAACTGATATATGTTTGTCTATACCATTATTACAGACTTCAAGGAAAACGTAGCACTCTCCAATCACTTCATTATCATAAAAATTTCGACTTGTTAGGTCTACGTTTTTTCCTTCTATGGGACTATTATTTGAACTACTATGCTCCACACTGCCCTTGTTGGAAAGCATGATTGGCTTATTTATAGTAGATGAGATCGTTGGTGGTATTAACCCCCATAGACAAATCTTCTTGGGATAAAGTATGCTTATCAATATTTTTTTCTTAGGATTTTTTTGCTAGTTGGAGTTTTTTCTTTTAAATAAATTCTGACTACGAGTGGTTCGTACAAAGTTTTCAAAATCCTCACCGTTTAAAAACATTTTTGTAAGCCTCACCCCTTTGTGGGGCGGCTGACTTTTAAGTTTCATGCTAGACTATAGCTCAAAAGGTAAAGCAACTGACTTACCAAGGGAATCAAAAAGGATATGGAAGACCAGCAGGTTCTGAAGAAACCGGCAGAGGCGGAGAAGAATCCTTGTATGTTTAAAAGACTTAAGAAATCCACTTAAATCGCCACCACTTGATGTTCAATGCAATTGAGGGATGTCCAAGTAAGTTTTGCAGCAGGTTATGCTGCGCCCCCTGCGGAGCACAAAGATGTTGAGACTCTTGTTGATTATGTTTAATTGACACGCTTATAGAATGAAAGCAGGGTTAGAAATTGTTAGAAGTTGAAACACTTCGCTATGTATGTTTTTCAATAGAATAATTAGTAAAAGTAAGTGAACCTTCGATGGTATTATAAAATTTAGGCAGATAACAATAGTGAAGATTGGCGAAAAAATGTCTGAACTGTAAAACTTAGGCTATTTGGCAAAGTTCTTGACAGAGGAACATCCACTTTGTGCTGCCTCTGCAATATAAAAATGGGATCCAGGCTTGCAACAACGACCGTATAATTGCTATCTACTGTACCGATGCAATGAGAAAGTTTCCGCATGTTGGTAAAACTCTCAGCGTTGGTCTTCCATTCATATTTGTTGAGAACTGCGTATATCTCTAAATGTCTCCATAATATTTCACACATTTTCTTAATGATCTTGCTCATAATTGAAAGAATTGTGACACATGCGACCTTTTGCGAGTCGTAAAAGTCGGTCGGAAGAGTTATTAAGCTCCTGTTCAGTGAGTTTATACCACAAACCAATAGTTTATGAATTCATTCTTTCTGGTTCCTGAGATGTTTCACGCTGTGTATACGTTTAAAAAATGAATCTTTATTCAACATTAAAACAATCTTATTGCTTTTTCTGACTCGGCCAGTAAAACACGCCACGGCTGCTCTTAAATTCATTTAGAAAAAGTTTTGTCTTTACTGCTAAATTTAAAAAAAAAGGATTTTCACGATAATTTTATATGCTAGGTTCTTAATTTTTCCTACTCAACCCATAAGTTAGCTACGTATACATAAATTCATTATTTTTCCTTTAAGATGAGGAAGGAAACAAACTGAAATTGGTGTATTTGCTTCGTCTTCGGGAACTTTCTGTATAACCACCTATTCAAAAATTTAAGTTTTGTCTCATTTTACTTTGCTCCAACTTTTGTGGCAAATCAGCACAAATAGTGTGGCGAAGCCTTTTTTGGAGTTTTGTTTTTTCACGTTGATATGATTTTTGATAATTTTCAGACACATACGGGTTGATTTTGTTTAGAATCAAAGAAAAAATATGTTGCTAATAAGTATTAACTTTGCAGTATTAATATCATATTAAGAACAACTTTACGCGGGACATATGCGAGGGTAAAATAAGATAATTCAAATTAATTAAACACAACTCTATGCTGAACATAAACGTAATATTGTATGTGGAAGTATACAGACAGAATAGTTATTAATAAACAAAAATAAATTCGTAAACATTTATCAAGTTGTATAATAAGTATTTAAAGGTATTTTATGATACATATCTTCAAAGTAATGCAGGTTATTGTCAAAAGAAAGCTAACTGTCCGAACGAGGAAAGGATATTATTTGCTAAGGGTACAGATAATTTGAAAAATATAACTGAAGCGTGTGATTCGTATAAACGGCAAAAAGACGCGTTATTGGTAGTTTGCTTAATATTTCTGGATATTATAATACAATGAATTCGGTGGTCGTTTGACGTTAATATACAGTGAGAACGTGTAAAGAATCTACTACTCTTAACAATGTCGAAATTTTGACTTGCTCATGAGTCACAGTACTCATGAATCTTCAAATTTATACCTATAACATATATGACGTCAACTAGTCTCAAAATTTTTCCTACAAAATAACCCAAAACTGTAGATAGGATTACAGGCGCAGCGTAACAATAATTAAAATAAAGGTTTATTTTCAATTAATATATTTGTGTATTAAAAATCAAAATTAATTTCCTTAGGACAGCTTTTTCGCCTTTTGGTAAAGTGTGTCGACAACCTTTCCCATGCTTTGAATAGTCTCTAGAACACGATCATACGTTTTATCAGTTTGGGTTTCTTCAAAAACAATTAAAACGCCTTCACCTTGATCCAGTATACCGCTGAACTTTTTATCTAATATCATCTGCGATAATTTTTTTTCAACTTGCGGCATGGGCAAAACAATGCATTCTGCTACATGTGAAACCTAGAATTTAAAAAACGTGATTAAATATGCATGTCGGCAGTTAACAATTTGTCCCTGTGGACCTTATTAAAATATATTACTATGTTTGCGTACGAGTTACAAAAAGAAACTCTGCACACATTTCTTTATTGAAATATTTGCCACAACCGCTTTGTGCTTTCAAGGTTTTAAGAACTTAGCTACAGGACTTTTACAGACATCATTGAATACGTTTAGAAACCAGCTTCCAGATGATAAATTCTCAAACTAATTATCAATTCGAGATTGAATATAATGCTTCCCCGTTTAATGTAAATGTTAAATAAACAGTTGGACGATAGGCCAAAATTTTACGGTGGAACAACGAAAATGCAGGCTGATATGATAATTACAAATTTTACCATTTTCAATAATACTAAGATCGGCATTAAGTACCAAATTTACTTATTTGTTCATTCCTTAAGTCTAACATCTGTTATTTAGCGTTGATTTAAATTGCGTCATTTGCTTGAATTCAAAAGTAACGTCAATCCTAACAATCAGATCCCAACAAATTAAAATCTTCTTTTCTATTTATATTTACTTGGACGCGGGCATATGGTTCAATAATCCGACAAAGGTTTTGTTCCAGCATAGTATCATATAATGTTCCCAAATGAGCTTTAACGATGGCGTCTTCGGCCAGTTCCTTGCTGTATTCCTTTAAAGCATTTTGAAAGTCAGCAAGGGAGCGTTTATGTGAAGCTTCAGCTATAGCTTTCATGGCCTCAATGTCTCGACCTGAAAACGTGACAGCCTGAAAGAAATTCGTTAAATTCGTCTATCTAAAGAATATTAAGTCATCTTACCAGTTTACCGCTTACGATCTGATTTACATCATCGGATTGCCCCAGCATGATTTTACATAGTAACATATATTTTAAAGCCGTCAGCGCTCTAATATTATCAACTCCGTCGAACCCTTCGAAAGCCTCATAAAAATATGAAAAAGCTGTTTTGAAATCACGCTCATCTGCTGCATGTAGTATCCCGGATTGCAAATCTAACGCGGCTTGCACCTTTGGCGGACAATATATGGAATTAGCAGTAGTACGCGCCGAGGTTAAGGCAGCTCTTGCTCTAGGCAAATTGCTTAAAGCGTGATAAGTTTTACTTTCTAATAACTGAACTTCTACCAAAAGATTTTTGTCATCGAGTTTTTTCAGTTCTTTTAGCAACTGTGAGCCAAGTTGTAGGGCATCGGTATACATAGCTGTGTCGAAATATAAAGCAATCAAACGAGCTTCCAGAGATTGTCGCAAAAAAGTGCGCTTCTCTTGTTTGGCCCACTCAATGCAATCTTTGCACAATTGTACCTAAAAAATCAAGAAATATTTCGGCGTACATTTTTAGGACCAAGGGGATTACCTCTATGCCAGTTCCCGCATCCATGTCGAGAAACATATCCACCAGAGACCGTACCAATTTGGCTGCTTTGGCTTTGCTAATAAGGGTTAAGAAGGGTCGAGTAACCTTAATAAGATCAGCCAGCTCTTTTGCTTTTCCTTCTTGTTTGTACAGTTCTCCCAATTGCAATATACCTTGCTCCTTAATGCTAATTAATTCCTCATCATTTTCAGCGACTTCCTGTTCACGAACAATTTTGTTTAAAAGTGTAATTCCTTCTTCCCGATTAAGATTTGAAATTGCTTGAGCCCTTTCAAATAACGTTGCTCCGGCCATTTTTCTTATAAAAAAATTTTTTTTTTATATTACGAGTCTCAAATTTACAGATGAAAATATTTGAAATGCTTCAAAATTTATTATAAGTACTTATGATGACTTGTGCAATTTCTTGCAATTTCTGTAAAGCTTTTTTCTTTGTTTCTCTAAAGCCTGATTAGCTAACAACGCTTTTAGCCGTAAAGATTAGTTGTTTCATTCTGCTTTATAAAAAAACCGACGATTTTAATAGATAGTTTTTCACACGCCAGAAGGAAACAGTGATAGAAGTATTCATTTCATATAACCAAAAACGACGTTAAAGTGCTAGAACACTATGACTGCGTTATGCGTTAAGGCCACGCAAAACGCATAAAGAAAAATTAGTGAGCACATATCTGGCTGCGTTGCTAAAGGAAAACCGTATGGTTAACTTTTATTTACATAAACATTAGTGAAGAATTGTAAAATTGACAAAGCTAAAAATTTCTTTGAAGGTGATTTTGTAATGCAAAAGAAGAAAGAAAAGGAAAAAAAGGAGTCGTGAGACAATTTTAATTAACACACATTTGAAAAAAAATGGACAAGAACTATTTAATTATTTGTGTTATCAGAATAGCAATGATACTCCCAACTGCAAAACAGCGTTCCGAACTGAACGGCAAGCTACATGGCAGACATTGAAGACATAACTCAACGTCACTGCGGTAAGAGATTATCCGCAAACAATGCTAACAGAAGTGATAGAACCGCAGTGTTTGAAAACTGTACTTGCGTAACGAGCTGTTTTTGAAATTCGTACTCGCAAAAGAGGAAAAGCAGCTAACTTACCATGAATTACTCGCTCATTTACTTACTCTCTAAAGTAACAAAATTCGAAGTTCAAATTGCAACGAGTGGTACACAAAAAGCAAAAACAAAATTGTGGAATTAGCAAAAACCAAAACATTGTTTTAAGGATTTAATTATAACGTTTACTGGGTAACACTAAGTGTTTCTTTTTTGAACGTTTTTCGATATTGTTCCTTGTCCTTTTCGGTTTTTTTTTGGCGGTTATGAAGACCTATTTGCTTTAATATTTGATTTTATATTGCGCAACGAGTAACGCAAATGTGTTTGCACTTAACACTTGTGAAGCATATCTGTTATTAAATCGAGACCAAGAAGATTATCAGGTATATGAAGGTTAATTTTGTTTTTCAACTGTTTTGGAATCGCATAGTTGATTGCACTCAGCATTGTTTGAATATTATGGGTTTTTAGGTATTAGAGAGATCACATAAACACAAATGTTAAGTACAATCTCTCATGGTTGTCAAATCACACGAAAGCGAAAGAGCCCACTGCGCACATTTCTCGTTAGCATTGATTGTTTAGATCTACATATATGAGAGAAAACAGCTGTAAATCGAAAACAAAATAAATTTCAAACAAAATAATCACATTCACTGATCACATTATATTTGTTATCCATATGCTGCCATTTCTAATCGCCATTTCAAACTTCGCAAATGGTTTGCATATGCTCTTCATGATCGCAGCATTTTGCATTCACACAACTTAGATGATTACTCCGCAATGAACCTGCTGCCTTCCTCATATTTTTTCTTCTGCAAGTTTGCATTTTTCATATAACATTTCATACACATGTACTACATTCCTTCTTATAGAACGAAGTTCTAAAGGAAATCAACCCTTCCTTTTCCAGCTTCAGCCCCTTGGCATTTGAATGACTAATCGTCCTCGATTTTCTTCTATAATAATTTAGCTTGCTTCCTTAATAATTGTTGGGCGGCTTTTTGGAAGCGTCTTTTAATTTCGGTTTGCTTTTTTGTTAGTTTAGTACTTTTATCTAAAGAAAATTTTTATTATATCCATCCGAATAACGCGTCTTTGTTTTTCGGCGGTAAATTAGAAAATATAATGATTATTAGCTTTCATTCTATAATATTATTTGGCTTAATTAAACAATGACAACGATATCAATAAAATTATACTTTAATGTAATGTCAGCATCGCGAATTTAAAAAGTACCTCTTACCATTTATCGCGATGCATTAATTCAAACGGGTGGCCATTCTTCCATTAGGTATTGCCTGTATCTTTCTCAGCAAACCGGGTCACACCTTAATCAATAGTTGGTTTGTCTATTAATTTATCGAAGAGAAGAATCAGCTGTTATTTTTTAGATTTTGATAGCCGAAATAAATGCGTGAAGCGCTGCAAATTTTATGTAGCTGGTCCTTTGTAACCATATGATTTTATAATAATTCAAGATACACCTCGTGGTATCAATACTGCTGGGACGTAAAATACAATCAGTCTGTAAAAGGCTTTAACTATTTACACGTTCCGTTCAACAGTTAATAGTTTTATCGGTGCCGTTAAGGCTTTTCAGAAGGAAAGACTTTTCGTAATGAAAGTCTGCGATCTCCACTTTTAGAAATTCAAGATGTCAAATTGGGCCTTGTACATGTGTACGTAAAATTGATACGTAAATCCTATTGACAGCAACAACTAACACTGAACATGGTGGAAGATACTTTAAATCAATGTAGCAGACTTAGATCAAAAATGGCACGTCCAAAGCCAGTTTATTTGTGGACCGTCACTGACGTGCTTAAGTGGTATAGGCGACATTGCGGTGAATATTGCAAATATTCAGAACTATTTTTAAAGGTATTAAGTAAAACAAAATCTTTTGTCTAAATTTTCGAACATCTTATATTTGAAAGAACTGCATAGCGGTCTTTATTGGTATATAGCTTTACAAGTTCAATTCCGCTATATGTTTCTTCGAATAGTTAAGATGCGGGCGTCTAAAAATATTTAATTTATCTATTTTAATATATATAAAATTTTTATTTACGTTTCTTTGACGCCCTTTTTCCCACTGTTTAAGGTAGGACGGTGTGTTGGACACTAAACTTTAAACTTTAAGGTCAAATAGTAGGCTATATCCAACATACCAAAACCAGGTTTTACTCTTTGTTCGCCTTTAATAGAAATCTGTCTCACATAGTCAATGTTGTAAATGCACTCCTTTATTGTTTTACAAGTTTTATAAACGTACAGTGAGCCTTATTAATATTGGGGTTTTTGCTCGACAAAAAATAAAGACTTAGTCTATTGTCCAGACATAGAAATATATTTCACTGTTTTGTACTACTCGGGAGTACCTATTAATATATAACAAAAAAAGGAACAAAACATTACTCCAGTAGACAAGAAGATTAAATAACTTCAAGAACTCAAAAAACATGGCAAGATTAGTATTTAGTTTTTTTCATATCAGGAACGAAGGAAGGATGAAAAGAAAAAAGCAGCATATTATTAAAACTTTGATGGGGTATCCTTTTTGCTTAATAACGTCATTTCAACGTTTTTACATATTTTATACAATTGTTTTTGTTTAGGAAACAGTGTTCTTACTTCATTCTTCTTGTAGTCTATTTTTAAGATATTGGATGGAAGATGTTGACTGTTTTCACACACGGCGGTCTAATTCGTCCGGCTCATTTTTGTTAGGGTTCATGCGTGGTGATTGGGGCAGGGGATGAAGCACTTTGTGGTAGTTATATAAGAGGCATTCTTAAATTAAGCAGAGCGTACGGGTGACTTCGAAATCCTGGTAGAATTTGACTGTTTCCAAAATACAAATTTTCTCTGCAAATTCTTTCAAATTTTCCTTCAATATCCGTAAATAAGCTTCCTTCTTTAAAATGCCACTAATTTTCCGACTTCATTGGCTCCATTGCATAGCCAAATTATAATATGACCGTTGCCGTGTTCGCCGCAGGCCGTTGGTGCAAGAACGTAACAGGAAGGTAAAGAGAAGAATTTCCCAGGGAAAATGCCTAATTCATAGTGGAATGACTACTGATGAGAGCAAATGTAAAAAAAAAATTTAACTTCGAAACGTCTTTTCTCTATCTTAGCTTCCTATCAAGGTTTTGTACCAACGGCTTACAACGTGCATGGAAAAACTTGGTATTTTGAAAACATTCAAATTCTACCAACATAACGATCGCAAATATAAGCTATGCTTAATTTAAGAATGACTCTTATATAAATCAACAAAAATATGTCGGATGAATTAGACTGCCGTGTTCTACATTTGGAAAAGTGAAAATGAATGAAATATATAATTATGGAAAGAAAAGGAGACTTTTAGGCTTTTCGGTTTCTTTACCGATAAGTCAAGGCAACGTTCGTCCAAAAATTATGTTTCTCTTCTAAGACGAGCATATAGCATAAACTAACATTAACAATAATTCAAAATAAATAGTCGATGGCTTGTGTAAAAACAAACTGCTACACAACCATAGTTACAAAGCTATGTATAAATAAATGCGACAATCAAATATATTGCACCATGTCGGACATCCTAAAACAAATTTCGATATATATATTCGAGTTATAAAAAGGGGTAGATAAGCTAAAAAAACAGTGGTTTGGCAATGACAATATGCCAAAAATCAACAATTTCGGGCTATGTTTACCACGTTCTCAAACTCAAGGGGTCTATAACCAAAATGAAAGGCAACACATTTGTGTATAAATGAACTCCAAAATTAAAAACATTAACGTTTAACTTCATAATCAAAGAAAATTAGCAACGCAACAGTTCTAAAACGACATCTGTCTGTCTGAAAAAGTAAACCAATTCTAATGAGATGTGCGCCTCATTGCGCGTCATTTTGATGTTACAT